TTTCCATAAGCTCCCATGGAAAGCTGAAGATATTTAAACTTAGGGTTCTCAAAATTAACATAATAGTTGTCTTTCTTTCTAAATAGTGCCCAAATACTTTTAACATTAATAGGCGTATAAGCTGCTGTAAATGTTGCACTTGAACTATCTGTATTCTTTGAGAATGAACCGTCCATAGGAATCCAATCCATAACTTTAACAGGAAAACATAAAGCCTCGTTTGTATAATGTTCTACAAGTTCTGTATAAATGTTAGGTCTAAAGAGAATGACTTTGGATGAATGAAACATTCATTAAAATCCATCTTTGTTCGAAATAGTTGCTGGTTTACAGTTGTAATAGTAACTGTTCCACTAGCTTCTACTGCCTTCGTTATCATAGTGAATGGTTCATTCCATGGAACAAATTTATTTGTCGGTGGATTTGAATCTGAAGCAAATGCAACTTTAAGAGTTGGATTGAAAGCAATGATATCATTTACAGATATAGATGTGCATTGTAAGGCGTCGCTACTGAACTTTACTTTAAAGCTGAATGTTTCCTGCAAAAGCTGAATAAATCGAATAGCTTCTAATGGAAGGAATCTTCTAACAGGAATTCTTAAACGAAGCTTAAAATCAAATGATTTTCCTGCTGTAATTGGACCACTAACAATTTGTTCCTGTTCTGCATGTTCCCGAATGACTCCATACATCTTCATGTCGAGTCTTTGAGAAAACATCTACTTTCTTTATTTGTTCGGTAGTTTGTGAGTTTGAAGTTATATATGCTTCTTCTCTTGCGTTGTCTTGAGAATATACGATACACCATTTGCAAGGATTTGATATCCAGCAACTGCATAGAAAGCGTCATCGAAACCAATCCAAAATCCTGGTGGGTTTGTTTTATTGGAACCTGAACCAATTTCTTTATCTACAATAAATTGACCTTCCATTTTATACGTAATGAATGTATTGTAAAGGTCCAACATATTTCACCAGGAGGTGAGAGATTGAATGTTACCCATGTGTTATCTTTAGCAGTTCCAGGTTGTGATGGAATCTTTGCGTCAGAATATTTTCTATTAGTGTCACCAATTTGAACTGCATTGTCTATGATATCGAAATATGAGCGAATCTGCATGAATATGCTCTGCTGGAGTAAATTCGTTTAGCTGTTCGTTCTGCATGTATTTACTTCAGATAAAAATATCTATTTACTTCATTATTCTCACTCTTCTTCTTGGCATTCGTGGTGGAAGTTGTTCTTGACATTTTCAATGAACTGTACATTCTCTTTTGTCTCAACTTTCTTTCACTGGCGGGTCAGGGTTCTTTGACTCGGTTTGCTTTTCAATGAAATTCACGAACTTTGCAATAAGCTCTTGGTTCGTTATTGAAAAACATCTGGCTTCTTTTCTTCTTTCTATTGACTTTTCAGTTTGAACAGAAGGTTTTATATGGGCTTCGTGGGCTTCGCCCTTGCCATGCACCTTAATGTTGTCGCTCTCTGTATTCGCTAATGGAACCTTTCTTTTCTTACATATATTTTACCATCTTTACTCTGACTTACATAATAGAAAGGATGTTGTATTCCTCTGGCGTCATTTAATATAATAGACTCTCGTCTGATTTTGACAAGCTCATTTTACATCGGTTAAAGTTTTAATTTAGTTTTTTATCTACAGTCAAATGACTCAGACAAGCCCTACGGACAAGACCCAAGGGGTCATAGATGTTGAAGCATTGAAGAAAGAAATTCGTGAGCAAATTTTATCCGAACTGAAGAACAAAAACAAGAACAAAAAGCCAGAGAGACCAAAGAGAAAACTTAGTGAAAAACAACTTGCTTGCATTAGCTGCTGGAAGACAAAAGAACCCACGTTTGCTGGCAAAGAAAGCTAGAGAAGAAGCTGAAGCAAAAGCTAAAGAAGCTGAAGCAAAGAAAGAGTAAATGGTTTATTTTTATCCGAACTAAATGTATAGACAAATACCTTTATCTGTTGCGTTCAGTAGTGAAAACCCTGACGTCAAAAATAAAGGGGAACAGAGTAACGTTTAAGTTCCAACAGACTGGATTGTGAACATAAATGAAGAGAAGTACATTGGCATAACATCTATGTATATAACACGTGCTTTCAGAAAGGTTGACTTTATACTTCAAGTCGAGATAGAAAATGACGAACAGTCTTTAAGCGCCCAAAACATTCACATATACAAATACTTTAAAGACGATACAACATTGTTGCAATGTATGATTTCATTTAATGAGATGTTCGAGAAAAAGTTCAACATTGAAGTACAAACTTTACAGCCTTTACGTGAGTTTCTTGCACAACTGAAAGAAGAAGGTAGTCAGCCACAACTTATAGACTTTCATTATGAATTTAATGAAAATGAAGATGGAACTCATGACTGTCAATTCATTGTATTCTCACCATTCAATGAAGTCGCTAAAGAAAAAAATCCATTACGTATAAGGTTTCAAATCTCTGAACCAAGTGATGATTTTAAGAATGTTTTCAATTATGATGCAATGCTTCCGAGGAAAAATGAATTTTCAAAGATTGTAACACCTGGCATTTGGGATAGAAAGCAAGCTATATTATATTCAAACTTAAGTAAGGGAGTTGAAAATGAGTTCATTGGTCATACAAGAACTTCACCACTTCCTAACCCTAAATACTATAAATTAACTGGCTTCAATCGTGAGTTTTGGATAGACATGTTCTCCACTCATGACCATAAATGTCCAGTGTTCTTGCCTCCAGACCATAAGGACTGTCTCTACATTGAAGCACAACTCTTAAACTCTACCATCGCAGTATTGTAAAATCTACGCTAGCTTTATTTTTATCACGAATGACCTCATTCATGACCTCATTCATGACCTCATTGCTGACAAAAATAAATGACCTCAGAACTTCAACTTACGAATAAAGCTTGTTTTAGTCGTTATTGAAAAGTTGAACTTTTCAGCAAAGCAAGGTTGACATGACTTACATAAGTCGAATGCAATCTCTTGACCATCATAAAGTGCTTTGTAAAGTTTCATTAAACTGAACTCAGAGTCTTTGTCATATGTTCCAACAGGTATGTGAATGTTCTTATCTTCATTGTAATAGCATTGTATAGCTTCAGGAAACATTTCATTAGCGGTTAAAGCAATAACATCTTGCTTCACGCCTTTCATTCTGCAGTGAAATGCAACTTCATTTAAATCGTTAGTGAGTAAGTCTATGTAGGTCTTCTTTCCACAGAAAATACTTTTATAAGCTAAACTTTGTTTTCCAGGTGTTATTTCTGCAAAGTCGCTATGAAATTGACCAAGGTTCTTTCCTATAAGTTCGCGACCATATCTCTTCTTAAACTCTGCTGCAAGCTTTGGGATGTCTTCATTATATAAGTGCATACTGTCGGTATCCTGGTAAAATATTTGAAGTCCCATGTCCTCTGCAGTACAGAATACTTCATTCATAATACGTTTTGACATAGACAGAATATTAACACCAAGTGGACAGAAGTTAAAGTGTCTGCAAATGCTTTTCGTTAGCTTGAAAATAGTTTTATCTGAACCATCCAAACCTTCGAACTTCACTATATGGTTGTAATTTCTTATAGCATATCTTATAGCATCTTTGTCATTTACTATGGTTATTTTTGACTCAATAGGAGATAGAATAGTTTTGCCATAAATGCTGTTCAGAATGAGTTTTATAATTTCTTGTAAGGGGTTTCCTTCTTTCTTATACTTTAACCTTAACTCAAACAACTTCTTTACTTCATCTCTTATTCTCATATCTCTGTTTCCATCGTAATAGTATCCTTGCAACACTTCACATTTGACACCTTGATATTTTATGAGGTCTTGTAATGTTATATGGTCAACATACATGAGACAGCAAGTGTTTGAACTTCTTGGAACGTTAAGTTCTGGATTTAGTTCAGGGTCGCAAACTATTAAATGAAAGTGTCTGGGTATACCAATCTCTGTTATCTTAATGAGAACAAAGAAGCCAGACATAAACTTTTCACCAATGGGTTCCTTTTGGTCATCATCGAATAAATGTCTCATGAGATACTCTGTGCTTAGCATCTCATCCTTCAATACTTTTGGAATTCCTTCTAAAGTATAAATCTTGCTATAGCTGAAGGATATAATGAAACAGTGTCGAAGTCAGCAATGAGTTTCTTTTTGCTCTTTTGTTTCATGTTATCTGACAACATACATCTTCCACCTTGAATGCATCTCGAAATAAATTCTCTTGGTTTATTTGAGAGGTCATAAAGATTTCCATTCGGGAAGTATACTCTGTTCTCAAACAATTTGTTAGCAATAGAACAAATACTAACGTAGTCATAAACGTTTAAATCAAACTCTTTCAATAAGTCATTGCGGAACTTTACAAAACCTTCTCTTAAAATTCTTACATCTTGTTTGCAGTAAAACGTGCTATATTTTTCTAAGTCGAAGTGGTTTTCATCTATTCTGCAACCTTTGATGGAATCTATGTTCTTCATAAATGTATCTGCATCATGGATAAACTTACATGCTTCAGAAATGACACCAGTTCTGTTGTCATTTGCTAACAAAACACTGCTGTAGTAGTTATATGGAAATACTTCTTTCGGTCCTGTTTGTAAGTTAAACATAGCAGGAAATAGTTTAAGCTTCTTATTTATAACACTGTAAGAGTCTTTTATAATAATTGCCCGTCCTTTATATAAGCCAGTTATTTGCATTGTTCGTGAACCTTTAATGATGGGAGTTCCTTTCACTTCTGTCATGTGTCTTAAGATGAAGTTTATGTCATAACTGAGGTTGTGAAAATATATTAAACTCTTGTCAGGAAGTCTTTCCAAAAATTCTGTTGCACAGTTTTGACCCCAAATGCTTTCACTCACTGAACCATCTTCACTGTCATAACAGATGTTAAAAGCTTTATGAAAGCCATCCGTACTACACTCAAAGTCAGCAAAGAAAACGTGCTCAGGTATGAATTTACATTTAGCTTTATTTACTTCTTTTGACTCTGCTTTCTTCTTCAGTTGTACACAATACTTTGGAGCATATGTCAAATCTTTAAATGGTGCAAGGTTCTGTTTATATAAGTCAGTAGTATATGTGAAAAGTTCTCCATAAGAAATAGGTTCGAAATATTTGCACTCCCACAATGTTTTCATAACATCCCATAACGGTGTTGTTCTATCATAACGAACTACATATTTATCTTCTCTCTTTGTATAAATCTTCATCTGTTTCTCAATGTTCATTCCACCACAAGCTTTGAGAATTTCTTTATAGTTTCGAATGAAGTATGTTGTCATTGGTAATCTTTCATTTAGCATGTAGTGGTCTTCAACAAGAAGTAAGTCAATAGTTCTAACAGTTTCGCATTCTTTTGGTATATATCTCTTTATTTCATTATGTCTTGAGTCATTGAAATAACCAATGGTAACATTAAATGATATACCTGTTGCGTCAGAAATTTCTTGTACTTTACTTTGAGGAAAGTCTCTAACACGAATGACTTCTCTCATGTGGTCAATAGTTTCTTCATTTACTCCAGCCTGAATGCAAGCATAAACGAAACAATTGTCCTCTGTCATAAGTGTTGCAGTTCTTTTGTTCAGTTCATTGAAGATTTGGTAGCGTTCAAGATTTATAGGTAATGTGCAAAGATACTTCCAGAACTGACCGCTTCTCTTCTTATAAAACTTCTTTTCACCATTATCTTTCCAAAAGCTTTCTATAAGTGCTGGGTTTCCTGTTTGCTTAAGAGCTTCCAAAATGGCTTTCTGGTCATTTGTCAGTGTGCTTTCATCTCTATATGGTCTCTTTTTTGGTTTGCCTTTCTTTACATCTGACATCGTTAAGCCTTCATATTCTGTTAAATCATACATCTTTATTTCGGTAAGATTCTTTATGTTTGTCAAGAAGAAGTCATAGTGCATTTCAACAATACCTGCGCATTTGCTTCTATCTCTGATATAAAGTTCTCCTTCAAGAGCTGATGTAGTAATGTTCCAATATTATTGAGGTTTAACGTAGAACATTCATACTTTCCACCAAGTTTATAACATACCATCCATCTCTGTTGGAGTTTATTTTAATTTTCTCTAAGAGTCTCATGAAAACCTTACCGAAATGTTTGTGTAAGTAGTCTCTGTTTGGTTCATCTAAAGCTTCGATGTTAAAGTCAATGAGTCTATTGCCTGACTTCACATTTCTCTTCCTATTCTCTTCATCTTTCTTTAACCATCTCTCACCTTCTTTTGGTTTGTCGTCAATGGAACGAATGACATCGTTTAGCTTTGCGAACTTGTTCTATAGCACTTTTAAACATCTCTCTTCTCTGTTGTTTCAGTGTGTCATCTCTCTTTCGTGTTTCACCAACGTTTGCATTTGTTATGTCAAACATTTCTCTTCTTACTTCATGTGGTACAGCTCTTCTTGTTTCACCAACGTTTGCATTTGTTATGTCAAACATTTCTCTTCTTACTTCATGAGGTACTGAACGTCTATGATATAAGTCAATAGCAATGTCATTTAAAGGAAATGCTCTTGCATGGACTTCGTCCTCGCCGCGTTGCGGCTTTATGAACTCATGAATTCTATCATAACTTATTGCACCATTATAGTCATTGAGGATGTCAGCGAGTGCTTTTTTGTTTGTTGCGTAATGCTTTGCAACATCTATATTAGCTTCTGTAAGAAGTTGTTTTATTTCCGAGTGTTCTAACTTAGACAACTTCCGATACATCTTTAGTAGGAAATAAAAAAATATTTTTTGAAAAAATAAACTTAGAAAAATTATTTCTTTCTATATTTGCCATTCCGAACTTCGAAAAGATGTTTTATACCAGCATAGAATTTTTCTCTAGAGCTTGGTCTTATATTGTTTTCATGACAATATTTTCTATATTCTTCATATAAAGCCTTTTTTTCATACATTTCATAAGGACAATCTAACCAGAATAGTGCATATCCAGTTTCGTTATCTAGGTCTCTATATGTTTCTTCTGTTTGTAGAATTTCGCTTTCTTCTATTTGTAGAATTTCGCTTTCTCTATTTAGTTCTATGACTATATATTGTGGCTTAAAAAGATGTGGGCAAGAAGGGTCTGGCGCTATGTAAAAAGTTAATTTTTCTGTCATCTTTTCTATCGGATAAAAAATATTTTTTGAAAAATTAGATTACATTTTTTTAAGTTATTTTTCAAAATAATTTAATATTTTTATTTTAATGAAACACATGCAAGATTGCAAGTTCTTTTCATACAATGCTCTCGCTACTGCCATCAAGAATGAGTTCAATGGTGCTTCAAACGTCAATGTTATCTTTAACAAGAAGTTTGTGAAAGAATCTAAGTTTGGTCAGTATGTCAGACCATTAGCTATCGTCATTGACCGCAAACGTTATACTTCACAAGAGTTAGCAGTAGTTTTGAAACAAAAGGGTTTCTTCGTGAATGTCAAAGATACACACTATACTGTCATAAAGAACTCTAACGTTGACTTCTTCAGTATTGCTTTAAATCTTTCCGAACAGAAAGAATATAAGAAGGGTGAAATAAATGTGAAATATTATCCTTCATCTCTGAAGACAATAACGAACAAAGATGTTATACAAAAGTTCTTACCAAAGGTTGAAGAAGCTTCTATTGACATTGACGAAGGAAGTGAAATGGTTGAAGAAATTGACCCTGAAGCTATTTAACCAAAAATATATTTTTGGTGAAGAGGTGAGATTTCACCTGTTTTTTCACCTCATTCTCTCTTCGTTAATGTTGTCGTGACTTCTTCGTTAATGTTGTCGTGACTTCATTCTTCCTCTTTGAAGTTGTCGAAATATTCTGTTATTTTTTCCTTCAGTAATGGTAAGTCTTCTTTGAAGGTAAGTATTGTGCAACCTTTGATGTCATAGTGTGTTTGAGGAAGAGTATTTTTGACAATTTCCTTTATTTGCTCATTCGGTGTCATTGAAATCGGTAAGTTTTCAGGATAGAACCAGTTTCTGTCAGATTTGTAAATCTTAGCAAGGTCATAAAAGCTCTTGTTGTTTCTTCTGACTAAATGCAACATAACCATATCTTTATCTTCTTCTTTCTCCAACTCTTCAGTATATATCATATACTTATAACTCTTTTCCTTTCCTTTTGGTACTGAACGTGGTATTCTTTTCTGTATGCTTTTGTCTTTGGATTCAATGACTTCATCTTTTGCTTGAAGTTTCTTTTCCATCTCTCCACGTTCTTGTCTGTGAAGTTCGTCAAGAAGTTTGTAAATATTCCAAGCATAACGTGGTGAAGCCCACATTGCAACTGCATTTACTAAAAGTCTATGAACATAATATCCTCTCAAACCGTTTGGCAATTTTTCACGGTTTTCATAGAGTTTTGGCGACTGGGATTTTTTACCTACTCGCTGTTCTTCACTGTTTTCAGAAAAAAGTATGTCTCGCTGTGCTTCGCTCAAAAGTTCTTGTGTGCTTTGGTTCCTAAACCAGTCTTTAGGAAGCTTAGTATCTGGAGCAAAACAAGCCGTCAAAATACTTTGCATTTGGTACATGTCGTCTTTGACAGAACGAATGAGTCTCAATTGTTTGTTATACTGTATGTATTCGTATTCTTCATTTATGACTTCATGAACGATAGCAGTTGTTGTGTTCTCTAATGTTGACATATCTGTCTTTACATTCCGGATAAAAAAATAAATAAAAATAAAACTAACTTTATTTTTGTGTTAAACACTATTTCTTCACAACATTAAATTTTATCCTGTATGAAATGACTTTAAAAAGATTATTGACTGACTTCGAATACTATCTCATTGACGCACTGACAGACCCTCAAAACTGTGTTGAAAGTTCTTTAAGCTTTAAGATTGAAGGTACGACGCATTTTGTCTTCACTTACGTATTGAAAGAATATGACCGTTATCATAACGAAGTGAATCAAACACTAATAAAATTTGTAGATAAAAAATTGGTTAACAATGAATATTTTAAACGTGAAGACCCAAACACTGCTGGAGATGATGAAGAATACAGACAAGTTATTGAAAAAAATAACGCAAGATTAGATGCAATAGAAAAGAAGTTTAATGAATGTCTTACAAACACGTATGAATATCTTATGCAGTGGGAAGCCAGATGGAAATAAATTTACGTCAAATATGCAATTTATAAAATCTTATGTCGACAGGCTACGTAGCACAGTGGTCTAAGGTGGTGTTATGGAGGGGTCAGGGTCTGTGGTTCGAACCGCGACAGCGCCGTATTTTCTTATTTTCTTTATTTGTCTTGTTTGTCGTGAATAAAAAGTGTCATAAAAGTGCTCTATCTTCCACGGGAATAAATAAAAAATTTACTTTATTTCTTCTTTATTTCTTTGTTCCCGTGGAAGAAGGGTTTTGCTGTTTTTTCTCAGCCGAAATCAACGATTTTTTCATTTTTGGAATCCTTAGCAAATGAGGAATCTTTTCTCTCGTGGAAGCTTTGACCAAAAATATAATTTAGGTGAAGAGGTGAGATTTCACCTCTTTTTTCACCTAATTTTTCACCCTCAGCCGCTAAGCGGCGAGACCCAAAGGGTCTTGACTTTGTCATAACTTCTTCGTAAATGCTTTGTCATAACTTCTTCGTAAATGCTTTGTCATAACTTCTTCGTAAATGCTTTGTCATAACTTCTTCGTAAATGCCTTGTCAAGATTTCATCGTAAATGCTTTGTCATGACTTCTTCGTAAATGAGTGTAAATGACCAAAAATATAATTTAGGTGAAGAGGTGAGATTCTTATATACGAAAAAAAGAGATCTGACATTGTGTCAGATCTCAGTAAAAGTGACATTTACATGTCAAAAAAATAGAATGAGTTTAAGTAATTAAAATTGAGGGTGAGAGTAGTATTGTATGAAATAATATCTCTCACCCTCCAATTCATCCTATGGCGCCGAAAAAAATTTGGTGAAATGCGACCACATTTCACCAAAATTTCTCGGCGCCATATAGAGAACTAGAGCCTGTGAGGTACTGATACTATCCATGTACCTCGCAGGCTCTAGTTCCAAGCCAAAATGGCTAAAAATTGCCCGCAATTGTTCACATTGCGGGCAATTTTTAGCCATTTTGGCTGGGAATTGGAGGGTGAGAGTAGTATTGTATGAAATAATATCTCTCACCCTCCAATTCATCCTATGGCGCCGAAAAAATTTTGGTGAAATGCGACCACATTTCACCAAAATTTCTCGGCGCCATATAGAGAACTAGAGCCTGTGAGGTACTGATACTATCCATGTACCTCGCAGGCTCTAGTTCCAAGCCAAAATGGCTAAAAATTGCCCGCAATTGTTCACATTCCCATCTTTTGTTGGTAAGACGAAGAATATGAAATAAATTATGAAGAAGATAATGATGAATAAAATATCACTTTTTATATTTTTGACACGTAAAGGTGTCACTTTTCTGTCAAACTGTTTTTATCGTTTTCGTATATAACAAGATTTCACCTCTTTTTTCACCTAATTTTTCACCTCTTTTTTTCACAAGCGTTTTACATGAATTGTACGATGTATATTTGAAATCCTAAACAGTTTTGTAGCTTCTATTTCTTCGCTGAGGATATCAAAAGTTTTAACAATGCCGAAAGTCTCTTTATATTTCTTCTTGACGTCAGATAGAAGGAAATCTTCTACTGTTGGATAGTTTTTGTTCAGAAATGCTAACATGTCCATTTTATCTTCTGCTGGCTTTTCTGCTTCTTTCTTTAAGTCTGCATAGTCGTTTCGCATTCTTTCTATCTCTTTGACGGAGTAGTTATATTTCCTTATTGCTGCTTTACATTTTGAACATTGTGGGTTCATTTTTGCATTATACATTGAAATTTGACCTGCTAGAACAACTAAAGCGTCAATTGCTCTCTTCATCTCAAACATAGCGGGTCTTAGTTGTTCGTTCCATACTTTGCCTCTTCTATCTTTATCTCTTATTTCCCAAACACATTCAGCAACTAACGAAACAAAGTTGTCGTAGGTCTTAAATTCTTCAGATTTATATATGTCAGAAACATTCTTATATACCATATCGCAATCTTTGTCCATAACTTTATGGTTGCAATGAAAACCAAGGAATTCATAATTTACTTTACGTATGAACTTCTTTATTTCTACTGAGTCAGTTGCTTTGACTTCAATTTCGTCGAATTCAGGAATAGTTAGTTTTTGATGCTGAATTTCAGGTAGTTTAGGTAAATGGTCGATGAGGTCCTCCATTTCATAAAGATACTGTTCATTTGTTTCATCTTTCGCACTACAGTCTAAATTACTTGTTAAAAGTTCCTGCTTAATTTTTTGTATTTCTGTTTCGAAAGTAAATGAAGAAGGAATGAAGCTTTCCATCTCTACTAACATAGATGTTGGATTCATGACTAACGAGTTTGGTGAAGTTGTTGTGGACAGAGTCCCGCCGTTCGCGGCTTGAATTGTTGTTGTGCCGATTGTTGAAATCATATCTTTTATACAAAATAAAAAAATAAATAAAAATAAAACTAACTTTATTTTTTCTATCGGGAAAATTCACGAAAATTCAAGAGGTGAAAAAAGAGGTGAAAAAAGAGGTGAAATCTCACCTCTTCACCTAAATTATATTTTTTGGTGAATTCAATAAAAATAAATGGTTCATTTACTCACAATATTTTTTTTACAAAACGACCCCAAACTTTTAACTTCTTTTCTGCAGCTTCAAATGCTATCTTAGCGAGTTCATATTCTCTAAATTCTCTCTTTAAATCTTCTTGTTCCCATTGGTCTAGTTCGTATGGAGAATCTCTATAACCATAATATATCTCACGTTCATGTTCTAATTGTTTTTCACACATTTTTCCAACTTCTTCTTCGAACAAAGGTTTAGCATTCTCCACTGTATCTTCGAGTTCTTCTTCATCTAACTTCTCATGAACTTTCTTGTCTATGGAGTCCATAATATCTTTGACATAAAATGCATACTTTACAGAGCACCATTCAGCAACAAAATGAACGAGGTCAGCATGTATGTAAATACCTTTGAATTCATTCATAACGCCCTTAGTAAGCTCATAAAATGCTTGTTTTGAGGTTGAGCCACTTTTGGCTCGACCGTATTCTTTCAACCAAAACTCAAGAATTTCCTGCATTTTAGCACTATTGAGAAATCTGTTTAAATGGTTTAACTTTCCTGCTTCTCTCGCCATCTTTGTTGCATTAATGTAACCATCCTTGTCTCTACGTAAGACTTCAATACCATTATAAGTGCCTTTTGTGAATGTTTCACCATTAGATTTGTTCGTGAATGTTTTTGCTTCGACTGACATTTCTGTTCTTACATACAAAATAAAAAATAAATAAAAATAAAACTAACTTTATTTTTGGTCTTTTGTGAAAATTCACGAAAATTCAAGAGGTGAAAAAACAGGTGAGAAAACAGGTGAAATCTCACCTCTTCACCTATAATATATTTTTGTCTGATTTACATCCAACGAAAAAGTTTAGAAGAATTTTCTTATTCTTTCTGGCATGTTTTTATCTTTCCAGTACTCCCGCTCTAATGGTCCCAGATGAGTTGGTTTAGATTCTCTCAAGTTCTTAGATGGTATAACATCTTCAACGCCTCCTTCATATCTTACTTTATAAGTGTCATCGTTTATGTTGTAGTCAAGTATTTCAATAACCACTCCTCGCTTTGCTTCGTCAATGGTTTCAGCAAGTTTGCCATTACTACTTTCGACTAATTTATGACGAGGGTAAAATGCTATGGAGTCGTCAGCAGCTTTTATAAGATATCCATTACCTTGCGTAGAGTCTACGATATAATAATTTCGACTTAACCTTAAACGTTTCTTTGTCAACGGTTTGTCGTCAAGAACTACACGAACTTTTGTTCCAGGAATGAGAGTAAATTGTGTTGAATTTCTGATATTTTGTGTTTGACTTCGTTTCTTTTGTATATACTTTTCTTCTTGTTGTTGTGTCATTGAATTTGGTGTATGTCCTGTTGTAGAATGTGTTGAGGAATTGTAAACTTCGATGAAATGTTTCATTGTTTCTTCGGTAAAGTCTCGCTCTTGATTTAAATCTCTGAGCGTTCTTATGAAGCGGTTAATGATACCGAGTATGTTATGGTTATGGTCTTCAGTAGTGTAGTGAGTTATGTTATGCTTAATGAGAAATTCTGTGATTTCGTTGCTGAGGTATGCACCGTCTTGGTCTGATGTTAAAGTACTTGGGTTATGTTCTGCTACAAACTTTTGTAAAACTCTTAACACTTCACGAGTTCCTTTATTTTCATTGGATATGCATATGCTTTACGAGTGTTAACATTTATGAAGATGAGGAATGGTTTATGTCCTCCTTTTCTGCTTTGAATGAGAGTGTCAAATTGGTATGCGTCAGGAGTGTTGGAGTAAATTGGTAAAAAGTAGTCGTAAGGGTTTATTTTTGTTTGATGTACAACATTTTTGTCAAAGAACCTTTTCACTTCAGCTCTGTTAGTAAATCCCGAACTCTTTGCAGCTTCATTGAACTTCTTAAATGACCTCCATGGATGTTGTTCGAATACTTCTTTCAAGCTCATTTATGTAAAGTTAAAGATTTTAACCAACTCGTATCCAAGCGTGCATTGTTATATAAGGAGGCATATAATCTTTTCCATTACCTGCTGGGTCTGTAATACCAGCTACAACATGTGTATGATTTCCTGCAGTTCCACAGAAAATACCTGTGCTTGAATCTACTGGGTCAGTTGAAATATCATATCTATGCATTCCCTGTCTATCCGAACCCGCTGCAAGATTTGTATAACCTCTTTTTGTTATTGAATGTGAATGGTTTCCTTCCACAGATGTTCTTCCACTGAACCTATGCATATGTGAAGGAAGGTTTTCAATACCTATTTTCTTTGAACCTCCCATCTTCATTGACTGCGTATTAGTGTAGAATGGAAAACTGTCAACTATTTCATACCATCTACCACCAAATAAAGTGTTTGGATTTATTGGATTCATAGACGTATAAACAGCTCCTATAGGATATATTAAATCATATATGCTCATAACTCTATAAACATATTCTAAAGAACTTATGTCATTAAATACCATTTGGAATGTATCTCCCGGATGAAATGTTGCATTTGTTCCACTTTTATAATGTAATGTTAGTTCAATAGAATTATCCAAGAAAAATTCAAAAGTATCTGGTTGAAGACCTCTAACAAATTCAAATGGAGTTGCTGGTTCACCATTTATAATTTCTGTTGTAAATGTCATTGTATCTGGTTTCGAAAATTTCTTTGTTAGTTCTGCATCCACATAAGTTTTATCTGCTTTCTTATCTAACATTGCTGGTAGTTCATATGCTTCAAAGTTTCTGGCATGACTTCGATATTCCTGCAACTCTTATCTAAATTGTTAAGAGTATCTTTTACGCTTGTACTCGGATTCTCTAATGGTGCACTTGAACCAAGGTCAAAGTTCAATATTATGTCGTCTGCTCTAACAGTAGTGAAGGATTTATGTGTATGGTTCTTGTCGGCTTTACTGTCTAATGTAGCTTGAAGTTCATTTATATCGGAGATGTTGTGTTTATGAGATTTCAAAACTTTGTTCGTTGCGTCAAGTTCTGTTTTGTCAGCTTTACTTTTAATAGCATCTTCAAAAGTTATTTTTGACTTAACTCTCAAAGTAAATCTTGGTTCAACTAATACACCGTTAACAAAGAAGTATGAAGCATAAATTTCAGCGTTATAACCAAATGATTGTGGTGCTATACCTGTGTCATACTGTACAGTACAGTGTATGTCATAACCTTTAGCACGAATGAATTTATATCTTCTTTCATTAACATTTTTCGTATTCACTTTTTCACCCTGTGTTAAATATCCATGATAGTCCGTTATAATCTGTTCATCAGAACTTATATAATGAACATGGTTTTTGTCTGCTTTATTGTCTAAAGAAGTTTGAAGTTCATTTATATCGGAGATATTGTGTTTATGAGATTTCAAAACTTTGTTCGTTGCGTCAAGTTCATTTTTGTCCGCTTTACTATTTAATGTAGCTTGAAGTTCATTTATATCGGAGATATTGTGTTTATGTTCTTTATCTGCTTTTTCGGCTAATTTCTCTTCTATCTCATTTATTTCAAGTTCATGCCTACCACCACCTCCCGAAGAAGTATTTTTCTTCAGCTCTTGAAGAACGTCCACTTCGCCATCTTTGGTGTCAATAATGAGACTTTGAGTTAAAACCTTTCCTGTCTTAATGGATGTTTGTAAAACTTCTTCTTCACCGTGTTCGGGGTCATGGTCGTCATCATATCTTGTGAAATCAGAGATGTTGTCATACATTAAACATATCTGTCTCAAAAGTTCTGCTATTTGAAACTGGAACGAAAGATATACAGAACTTTCATCATCTCCTAAAGTCAAGTCTGCTTTCTTAAGTATTTCTTGAATGTATGCAATGAGAACAGAGTACCTTGGAAAATATTCGAACAATATTTCATTAGCTGTTGGTTTTGGTGGTTCTTTTGGAGTTTCTGTTGTTTCAGTTCCTTCTGTAGGTTCTGTTGGAGTTTCTGCATCTCTTGACTTCAATGCTCTTGCTCTCAAAGACCTAAATGTTAGAGCACCAGGTTTTACAAAGGACTTTATAAATGCTTTAATAGTTCCTGGTAAGTTATTGTTAGCATTAAGTAAGTTCCTTATGCTTCCATCATGTACGTCCATAGCACTATGTAAAAAATCTATACTTTTCTTGTAGTCAGCAATAGACTGACTGTGATTTTTTAAAGATTTGTCAATACCTTTAAGCCAATCTTCATGCATGTCTGATACTGAGCCAAGAATATCATTTGCTTCCTTTAGTGTATTTTGTGCTTGTCGTAAAGTATCCAATCCCGTACGTGCATTGTTTGCTATACGTCTTACAGTATCTATTTGACTCCTTGTTTCTTGCATCCAACCAGATAAAGTTTTAATAGTATCCGAACCATTTGAAATGAAGTTCAAAGCATTTTTAACGTCATTTAAAACTTCTTCACCAAGTACCGCCCATATCTTTCCGATTTGGTATTGAAGAACTCCATATGAAGCAGCTGTTAAACCAGTATTTATAAGGTCCCATATCCATGATTTAGCAGTTTTTCCATCCTTTCCATCCTTTCCATCCAAACCGTTTTCGCCTTGAGGTCCTTGTATTCCTTGTATTCCTTGTATTCCTTGAGGTCCTTGTATTCCTTGTGGTCCGGTGTCACCCTTCTCTCCTTTCAGTTCATCTTTATGTTCGTTATAATATTCTAATGTCATAAGGTGTACATCATTACTGCTACCAGCAACGCCGAGAATTTGTTTCTCATTCATGACTAAATTCTTTAGGCATTTAATGTTGTCGTCAAATCGAAAGCTCTTTAACAATTCAATGAGAACATTTAATACTTTCACTAATGAGGCATCTACTGTAGAATTTATATATTGCACCGTTCCATCATTTATAATAGGAACTTTGCTTGTTGTAATGAATGGGTCATAAGTGTTAAAAGTATCGAAATCAATGACTTTTTTAGTTTTTCCATCGTCAATGACTAAATCATTGCCTTCAATGGTTAAAGTTGAGTTTTCGTTTACTAGTTCATGTGCTCTTCTTGCTTCATTTGTTTCATACGCATATGCAGCAATAGTCATATTTTAATGAGAATAAAATGTTGTTCTATTTGCAAAGTACAGACCCAAACGAATACGGGACAGTAAAGCTTCAAACAAACTTAGGTCTACAGAATGAAGCACTTGCTTTCAGAGTTGTTGACTTCAATACTATCGCAACTTTTGTCATAACAGATGAAACAGATTTCATGGAGTTTGAAATAGATGGAAAGAAGCATGAAATAAGATTTCACAATAATGTAGAATATAAGATGGAAACATTAGCTGGAGTGTTAAATGCGCTCATAAATACTACAATAAACAAGGAGAACGAAGAAAACTTAATGAATGTTAAACTTATTGCAGGAGTTTTGAAGTTCAGTTATGCGAAGGAGTTTAAGATAACACGAATGAGTCATAGAGTTCAATTGCTTCTGGGAGCATACCATATGACATTTCCTTTGAAAAGTTTTGACAAAACGATTGAGATGAAATCTGTTCCATACGTATGTTATGGTAATTGTTTGTACATTGAGTCTAAAATAGCTAATGTCACAGGCATTTCAGGAGTTAATAGTAAAGGTTCAGTAGAATATAAGTCTTTCTGTTATGAAGTAAATTCAATGTTCATTCCAAACGTTCCTGTCATAGCAACTCATTTAGGTAAATGGGTTCGCATTAGTCCTCATAATTTGAAAGACATGCAATTCAGACTTGTTGACTTTCAGGGCGAGCCTGTAGAACTGAAGGCACCAGTGCGAATGACTGTTGAAGTTGACTTTTTAGAAAATATTAAATGCAACAGCTTACAAGAGAACTCAGAGCTAAAAATATAAAGTATGAATGTTATGTATTAGGTCATGAACTTTGGTTGTTGCTGTTTGATGAAACAAATGAGTTAGTTATGTCAGTCAAGAGAACAGAAAAAGGCGTCAAAGGCGCCGAGCGCAAAGCGCTATATTGTGTTAGTGAAAACTGCACCAAGTCAATAAGATTAGGTTTGCATTATGAAGATGAGTTCGATACTGTTGAAGAAGTTTTGGACAGATATTACAAATTGCTTTAATTTACTAAAACATATTTCAAGCAAAGTTTATATTCTGTTGAAAGTTTTGTATACTCGTTCGAATATTTATACTTAAACTCAACTCCTGTAGTTCCTGGTGTTTCAATGATGCGGATGTTACCTATTTTCATGAATGGTGGCGTTTGACCACAGCATTCGATTTCAGGGTCGAGATAGTCAATGACACATTGTTTCCCTGTTATTCGTGAGATAACATTTTCAAGGTCCTCCTTTGTTAGAATTATTTGGTTCTTACTTATAAGATTTGTCAAAAGCTTCTTATCGTCTTTGAGTAAGATAGTTTGATATAACTGAAGAAGGTAATGGTCTACGTTATCTGAAGGATTTGTTTGAACATTTGTGTAAGGGTTGTCGTTGGCTTCTCTTGAAAGAATTTGGTCCAGTGGTGGATACTCTAACTTAACATCTGATGTAGCGTTAGCGTTTGAAGCTGAGTTTAAATTCACGGATTTCAGTTCTGGTTCTTTTTCTTTCAAACACTCCGAACTATAGTTCTTTATGACAATATTGTTTGTCGTTCGTGAGTCAACATTTGATGTTGGTTCAATTGGAACATTAACGGCACCAGCTAAGATGGATTTGCTTCTCATTTCATATAGAATAAAAACCTTTTATATGTATGAAATGAACAATATACTCGACAAGGGTTTGAATGTAAAGCTAACGAATGAAAATATTGTTGAATTCACTGAGACAGGTGCTGTGTATAAAGATGTAGAACTACTGAACAAAAGAGCTAAGGGAAGAAGCAGGAACATGAACAAAGGGTGGAAGCCTATAAAAATTTATGTCAATGATGGCTCAGGAGGTTCAAACATAAAGTATGCAGAAAGTTATAGAGTTTATGCGCTAAAAGGTGAAAAGCCTTCATTTAAGAACAGCTATTCTAACGCATATCCTCAAAAGTTAACGGATGGGGAAGTGGATGATATGAATGACAGCAAAAATATTAACAGAAATGGCGACAGAGATGCATGGAATTTGTTTACCATCAGTCAATTGAAGGTTAAACTTTAAAACAATGTTGGTCGTTCCCATGGAATATTTTTGACTTTAATGGTATTAGTCATGATATGAATCTCAAGGTATGAACGAGGAGAGATGAGAGACTTATATGCTTCCCAAATTTCTTCAAAAGGTAATGTTATACCTGACTGTTTCCAAATGAGTTCAATATCATAACGTGAGAAACCTTGAAAGATAACGAAGTCAGTTATGAGACGTTTTATGTTTAAAGCTAAAAACCTCCATGTTTGCATAAGTATTGCTACAGTTAAGTGGTAATGTCTGACTTTAGTAATGATGTTAGCTAATGGTGAGTCAGGCTTTGACACTAAACCTTTTCCGGCGAAGTCGTCGCAAACGAGCAGAGTGTTTGAAGGATACTTTTTGAAGGGGTATTTTGAAAGTTTTGATAGAATGTAGTTTGTAAGTCGTTTCATATCGTAAACTCCTGAGTACTGACGTAAGTGGTGTTTGTCAATAATTCTTTCCATCTCCTCAGAAGTCTTTTGCATTCCTGACTGTATAAATTCAACGATGGCATAATATTTCCTCTTACGTCGAATGTAACGTTGAAGAAATTCAATGAGTTCACTGTCTGGAACTTTAACGACAGAGGCTTGAACTTTTGACATAAATGTTTTCGCTGTTGAGTCCATAGAGTCTGAAGTTGCTGATATAATGATTTGGTCATAATATGAGTCATTTCCTAAACGTTCTGTTATGAGTATATGACGAATTAAATTAAATGTCTTACCTGAACCCATCTTTCCACAATAGAAATAAACGCCATTTGAACAGAACTCATAGTCCTTACTGAAAGGAAGAATGAGAGAAGAGTTAAGTTTGTCTGTAGTTTCATTCATGTCTTCATCTACGTCATGTATTAAATGCTTCATTTTATCTCCATTAAAAATGCAAGTCAGAAATATTCAGAACATAGCACCGAGTCTAACTGACAAGAGTATAAAGATATACTATGAACATGTTATGATGAAACCAACCAAAATTCAAAAAGTCAGTATACTTATGAATATCCAAGACACTGGTAGAGTATGTAGGAGGTGAGAAAGCTATTGAAATAAGACAGGTTCGAAGTATTCCAGCAGGAAGAACAATATTATTGAAGAACTTTAATGTTTTGAGGTATAATGATGAGACAAAGAAGCAAGATAGTTTTCCTATTGCTGTGTATGTGAACCTAGACAGGAGATGACATGAAAGTTTTTAATACAAAGCTTCAAACGGTAGTGAGAGAACAACTGACTGCGGAAGGACACCCATTACCTTCAGAAGTTAGCATAGCATATAATTTTGAAACAAACTCAATAGATTTTAAAGTCGTCTCTGCAAAGAAGTCAGGTTTTACATTTAATGAAGCAGATGTATATTCGAATGAAAACTTCAAAGCTATTGCATGGTTAGATAATGACGATTGCTTTAAGAAAATATTTAAATTCAGTGACTCAAAGATGTCAATAGATGACCTTCGTGGAATGTTACCATCGACGTTTACAGTTGAAGGTTCAGCAGGATTGCTTACAAGATTGTCAATTGGTGGTATTTGGTCTCGTGAGAACATTGTTATAAAATCCAGTATAAGTGAATTTGCTGAAGAATCTATATTATGTCTTTCAAACTATATGTATTCGCCGCCGAAGCATTATAGTAATAAAAAACTTTGTCCATAAGTTTAACATAAGACTTGTCGAACCTTCTTCAATGAAAGATGTTGTGCTACCTAAAGATGGAAAGGATGGACTCATTATTTGAAATGATTTTAATAGCATATTAAATGAGCTTGTTTTTAAAAGGTCATTCATGATGAAATAACTGTTGTAGAAGATGTTAGCAATTGTTCAGACATTATTGAGAATAGATGATAAGAAATAAGTTAGATAGACCGCAAAGCGGTGAGGGCGAAGCCGTGAGAATGTTTATGTTTCATTGACTTTCTCCAGTAAGAGAACTTTTATGAGATAATATTGAAGAGAGATGATTTTAATATGGTGTAAATGGTAGCTTGGGCAGCTTTAGGCGCAATGGGAACAAAAGCATTAGCATTTGGAGCAAAGCACTTGGGCTTATGACGCAGTAAATAAAATGAGTGGAGGAAGAGTTTCGAAGACATTAGATGCAAATAAAGGAAAGATTGGAGGCTGGGTTGCAAAGAAGTTAAGATTAAATAAAATAGGGCTCATAAATAAAGCATCCAATTTGGTTGCGACTGAGTCAGAAAATGCTTTAGGAAAGGACGATGAGTTTGCAAAACATGCAAAAGACTTTAATGACCAGATGAAAGGTGAAACAATGCATTTAAATAGAGTCGATGGAACTAAAGAAAATGTTTCTTCTCCACCAGTAGTTCTTCCGTATGGTCCCTATGGAATGTATGGAAACCCTTACGAAAGACCATTTGACCCATTGACTGGTGGAAGTAATTGGTATCATTACGGACGAAGAAGAAAGACAGTTAAGCTGGAGACAGACGTGAAGAAAGCAACTAAAAAGAAACCAAGGAAGAGAGTTATAAAGCAATGAATTCAAGTGGGTGAAAAAACAGGTGAGAAAACAGGTGAAATCTCACCACTTCACCTAAATTTATTTTTGTGCTATGTTTTCATACGTGTGAAGTCGTTAGTGAAGTCGTTAGTGAAGTCGTTTATGTGTCAGACGTGAAGAAAGCAACTAAAAAGAAATCAAGGAAGAGAGTTATAAAGCAATGAATTCAACAGGGTGAAAAAAGAGGTGAAAAAACAGGTGAAATCTCACCACTTCACCTAAATTTATTTTTGTGCTATGTTTTCATACGTGTGAAGTCGTTAGTGAAGTCGTTAGTGAAGTCGTTTATGTGTCAGACGTGAAGAAAGCAACTAAAAAGAAATCAAGGAAGAGAGTTATAAAGCAATGAATTCAACAGGGTGAAAAAACAGGTGAAAAAAGAGGTGAGATCTCACCACTTCACCTAAATTTATTTTTGCGCTATGTTTTCATACGTGTGAGGGTGGTGATATCATTAATTTTTAAGTTTATTTTTTATTTACTGAAAATTTTTATTTGGATGTAAATGACAGAACAAAAGCACTCATTCGAATTCCACAGTATAACAAACATACATTTAAACATTTATTCTTCCTTCCTGAGCATAACATGTTCTTTCAAATACATCCGAGACCAGTTGACTTTTCATTGACTGTGTATAAAGATAGAAATAGTTATATCATTAAACCATACGATGACGAAGGTAAGTTATGTAAATTGTACGTTAAGAAGTTAGAGAAAGTTTATGGCTTCAAGTATGACTACAATAGGGTTAACACTGATGATGAAGATATGAGGAAAATTTATGAGAACATTAGTGAAGTCGTTAGTGAGAACGATAGTGAGAACGTTTATTTTTACATTAGTGAGTTCGTTAGTGAAGTCATTTATGTGTCAGATGGTTTTGTAAATATTTAAGGTTGAGTTGGTGTTATGGTTGTGTTGTAAAATTTACGTTAACGGTTTCGTAAATATTTAAGGTTAACTTGGGTAAGGTGGAACGCAGTGCCGCCGTACCCAACTTAACCATACTAACTAATGAAATGTCATATGACGACAAGTATAGACACTTCTCCATGGCAAAGATGAGACAAGTTTTAAATATTTACAATAACCGTAAACAAAAAGGTTTGGGAAACCACTCCCCCGAAGAAATGAAAAACAACCCCGACTTAGAGAAAGACTATTATTAATAATAATTAGTCAAAAGAGACAAACAAGAAAGAATGCCGGGCTTCAAACTTCAGAAAGGTGACAAAGTAAAATAGAAATACCTAAACGCGACCCATATGAAAATACTATTGACTATGACAACAATGGGAACCCGACAGGTACTCACATTCGTGTTCGTAAAAATAGAAGAAAGTATACAAGAGAATATTATGAAGTTTTAGGCAAACATGGCAAAATGTACAGACTGCAAGCAGAAGATAAAACTACTATTGTCAGACCTCGTTTCAAACTTGTCAAAGTTCAAGGTGGTATACTTCAAAGACAGTTCCTAAATATAAGACAACTCCTGACGAATATGCTAAAGAAGTGGAACATGACGACTAAGCAATTCTATACCATGCGTAAACTGTCATGTAAGGTGGCATGTAGTCTTTACTTGTCCCGTTGTTTGCGTATACCCTGAAACGCGATGTGTATGGTTTCCTCCTCCCTCAGTGTTACTCCAGAAACAATTTATAGCAAACTTAACGTCGTCTTTAACATCATATCCTTTACCTTTTGTCATTGCTGACCAATCCCAATATCTATGCTTATGCCAACCTGCTTGAGATGTACTTAAATCTATGTAGTGACTGTGCGCAGGTAAATTTTCACCTGAAATCGTTTTACTTCCACCTGTTTCCTTGAAGAGTTTGCACAATACAAAAAACCTGTCGACTATTTGAGTCCAAGTTCCAAAACCAAGTACTACTTCTGGTCTGGTAGAGTTCATTGACGTATAAATAGAGCCTATAGGATATAATGTTTGAAGTATTTCCGTCTTTAATGTTTGAAGCTCTGTTTTGTCTGCTTTCTTCTCATATAAATCTTGAGCAGTGAATTTAACGTTTTTTTCATCCTCCATGACATAAACATTTCTACATCTAATGTATTTCGTCGTTGTTATGTTTTCTTCCGATGTTAAACCTTGTGGAAAGTTAGGAGGTTTAAAATATAATACATCCCCACCAGTTTCTTCAACCGTTCCTTCAATACTTTCTATAGCAACAGTTGCGAAGAAATCGTGTGTATGTCCAACGTCACTTTTACTGTTTAAGGTTTCTTGTAAGTTTGTAATATTTGCAATGGTATGTGTATGTCCAACGGCACTTTTACTGTTTAAGGTTTCTTGTAAGTTTGTAATATTTGCAATGGTATGTGTATGTCCAACGGCACTTTTACTGTTTAAGGTTTCTTGTAAGTTTGTAATATTTGCAATGGTATGTGTATGTCCAACGGCACTTTTACTGTTTAAGGTTTCTTGTAAGTTTGTAATATTTGCAATGTATGTGTATGAGTCTTTTTAGAATATTCGTTTTCAGCTCTTGTCACTTCACTTGACATTTTATTGTCAACATATGTTTGTCTGCTAGTTCAGGATGAGTATGTTCTTTTGTTGCATAAGCTTTGTCAGCTCTTTCTTCTTCTTTTGCTATTGCATCGTCTACATATGTTTTGTCTGCTTTGTTGTCAACATCTGCTTTCAAAAGAAGTTCTTTTATAGGTTTCTCGTTTAAAGTTCCTTTTGTTGGATTTATACAAACAGTATGGTTCTTCTTGTCTTGAAACAGAAACTCATCTGTCATTGGGTTTAATGTCAGTTTTAAGTTTCCTTCTTTCAATGACTCAGATATCTTAGAATAGTTTGAAAAGTTTGTTGTGTTCTTATTTAGAGCTTGTATAATGAGTTGTCGGTTGTGTGTATTTCTCTCATAGACGCTGTTTCATTTGACATTTTTATTCTAGATAAAATATGCTTTCAATAAAGAAAAAAAATTCTAGAGTTGCTACAACTAAACCATTAGATGAACTTTTTACGAATGTCGGTCAAAAGTTTGAGACAGAGACCGTAAAGCATGAAGGCTATCGTTTTGACTACCCATTGAGATGGTTAAGAGACCCATCCGTCACAAAAGCTATTGGCTTTCGTAGAATGAAGTTCATTTCAGAAGCCATACATGGTTTCCCATTTACGGTCGGTTTTGAAGTTCGATACTATAACAAAGAAAAACGTACGTATGAGAAATTTGAACAGGGAAAACTTTTACAAGTTAGTTTGCTTGTAAACTTAGAAACAACTCTTCAAGCTTTTCAAGAAAAAATAAACGATATCTATCTCGAATATGCAAACCAGTATAACATTGACGAAGGAGAGTACCATCTCGATATTATATATGACAGGAAAAATGCAACTGTTAAAATCAATAGAATAGAAGACCTTGGAGAAAACGTTTATATTTCTACAAAATATAACAACTTGGCATGGTATAGATTTATGAGGATGTTAAATCAGCCTGCAGCATATCCAGTACACCCGGACTTTTATGAAGTCGAAAACCCTAATGGAACATATGAAAATGTTTTCGACCCAGATGCTATTATCGTTCATGCTTCATTTTCTGGTGCACAAAACTCTTTTTTATGCTTGGCAAATGACTTTTACGAAAAACCTACAAAGCTATATGAACCACCGAGTGGAAGTATTTCAGACTTTCAAGTATGGTTTACAACAGATGGAAGAAAGAGAATAGTTCCATTATACCATGCGTTTTACTTAGAACTTAGTTTCATATACAACTACTATCGAACGGTAAAAATATAATTTTTTAATACGGTTGAGGTGTTGGATTTGGTTGCCAACTAGACTGTGGTGCAGGTTCAGGCTGTTGTATAACAGGAGCTTGTTCTTCTGGTTCAGGGTCTTTAGGTATAATACCAACAAACTGACCTACTCTTTTACCAATATTTTTGACTCCGTTCCAAATTCCTCTTCCTACGGTTTTTATTCCATTCCATATACCTCTTCCAACATTTCGAAAGAAGTTTCCTATCTTACTGAAGAAACCCATTTTACTATATGTAAAAATCTAATGTCCACCTAGTCTCTTACGTTTCCTGTTGAGTTCCATAGCATTCTTTAACTGGAGCTCATACATTCTGTTTCTCCTCTGGTAGAAAACATATTCTGGGTCAACTCCTGTGTTCGCGTCATCTGCATAAAGTTGTTTATATCCCACTTCAGGGTTTGTATAAAACTCTTTCCATCTCATATTTGCATACCATGGTGGCAAACCTAACGCAGCGTCATTTGACATGGCAGTTTGCATTTGTACATCTGTTGGCACTTGACCATAGTTTGCCATTGCAGTTTGTATTCTAACTTCATTTGGAATATTCTCTGGTTTGGTTGTCCAGGTTGCTGTGCATTTGCTAAGTTCTGTGCATCCATTTAATATTAGATAAAAATATCTCTTACGAGTACATATACTGAACATTTGCAGGCATTGGTTCATCTTCATATTCTCTGTACCTTTCTGCCACGTCAAATAAATAAATGACACAATGGAAAAAACCTAAAACAAGTAGTCCTATTTCAAACCACATTTACTTACTAGTAAAATTCTTTGTTATGACACTTTCTCCGGTTTATAGGACCTCTCTCATATTCTATCTTGTCATATCTAAACTCATAGGCATGTATGTCCTCTAACCATCTCATAACGGTTTCCAAACCACTTTTATCGGATGTAAAGTAAAAGCATGGACAGTTATGTAAAACGTCTAAAGTTTCTAAAGAGTCTCTCAAAGTCCAGTCTACTTGGTATTGAAAATCCCATGTGTTATAGAACGGCGGGTCCACTATAAAGAAAACATTTTCCTTGTCTTTATATTTTTCATACAACTCTGTCCAATGACATCTCACAAACTCTATACCCTCAATATATTTTTCTATGTCCTCTTTGAAAACATTTGTATAGTTAAGATATAAAACATTTGACATAAGTGTTTCAATGTCATGAACTCTTATAGAACCACTATATAATAGTCTAGCAGATATACTATCCCAGTCTATATATTCTGCTTTTTTCAAAACCTCTCTCACAATATTTTTTTATCTAATGGTATACGTTCCATCTTACCTATAGGTATCTTTTCTTTTAACTCTTTCAATATATTGTTTGTGTCTGGTATATGTTTGAGACGGTCCATATAGTTGTCGAAGTCATTGCATATAATCTTTGAGTCTGGGAATATTGTATGGCACAAATGGGATATATAGAAACTTCCACCGAACAAATCTACAAATGTTAGACCATTCGGTAGTTTCTTAAGTTCTCTCAATAGAATATCTTTACATCTATTCTTATTTCCAAAGAAGGGTAACGGTGGTTTTGTAAAATTCATTTATATATAATAATAAAAATGTTTTTTCCTGAAAAGTGACAGAAAAGGCTTCTCAAAGTATACTTCCTTGGAACGCCCGTAACTTTTCCTGTAGCGACGATAGACCCTTACTTGTCCGGACAAAGTTGTACTAAACATCTTCAGGGCTAGAGGGCACGAAGTGCCTGGAGGCCCCACTACCTTTTTTTTTTATTTATTTTGATAATGAAGATTTTATTTTGCAATAATATAAACGAAATTTTTACCTTATGAACTTTTGATGGAAATATGCAAATTTAAAATAATAAAGAAAGCCGCGAGCGAAGCGATCGGCTTAGTTCGAAGATTTTGATTCAAATCTTTGCTGATCTGTAATTCGCGGAAGCCGCGAGCGAATCGAGCGGCTTAGGTCTAAGATTTTGATTCAAATCTTTGCTTATATTCCTTAAATTCTTTATGAAACTCGCAACAGTTCCATAAAAAATTTTAAATTCTAAACTGTCGAAATTACCGATCGGTAATCACACCCTTCACGAGTGTGTCACTTTTTACAGGTGTGTCACTTTTAGCTAAAATTACCCCTACTCGATCCATTTGTTGTGTTGTAAACAGAAATTCATCAAAAGTGACACCTCAGAAAAGCTAAAATATTGAATTTTTGGAACTTTTGATAGAGCACGTTTTTAAATATTAATTAAAGTAAATGTATATTTTGTAAAGATTCTTTTTAATAAAAAAAATAAAATTTTGAAGAAGAACACAAAATCTTCTGAAAAATAATATCATATAAACTCATATTATTTTCTAATATATAACTATTTTATATAAAAATCAAATTCAATGATCTTAAAAGCGAAGGATAAACCTCAAAATTTACGAATATAATGAGTGGGAATATAATGCTTATCTATCATAAAACCATATGAAATATCAATTTTTGCTTTACACCTAATTTTTGACGACAATTAGCAAAAAATGTTAAATGTTAACACTCAGTCCATTTGAATATGAAAAATAAAATTGACTTTGATTAAATGTTTTTATTTATCATGCAATTCTTCTTGCGACCAAAGATTTGAATAAAACTTAAAAAAATAAGATAGCTGAAAAAATAATATACGGTAGTGTTTACTAATAGATGAATAGTATATAAATTCTATTAAAATGGATTTGATCCAAAAAAATATATAAAATTTGATCATAAATAAAATCGTTTTAAATTACTTCTTCATTTAAATTACCCAGATTTGCTTTACTTTTACCACTCCCCATGTAATTTCTGGGGAAAACGATAATTCATTTTTTTTATGGATGAATAGATCGTTTTCCTAGAAAGGACCTCATATCTCTGGCTAAAAGAGTGCCAGATCCTAAATAGATTATTGATCTAGTGTACAAATCCAATAAAAAGCCTATTTTTTTGGCTTTTTTGGTGCTCATTTTTTCGAAGATCTACATGAATATGGGGAAACCATCGGATTTTTTTGGTTAACCCACATCTTCATGTAGTCTGGACTATCTTTCCTCGAAGGACCTCTTTACGGGTGTAAAAACTCATAAAGTTCTCAAAAGATTCATTCTCGATCTCCATGCTGAAAGAATTTACAATAAAAAAGAGATCTACGCATCAAACTACAGCCATAAATGAACTGAACCCCTAAAGCTCAGCTCTTAGTTTATCAAAAACGTCGAAATCCTTCTCATTGCAATCAAATTTTCTCAATAACTCATAAGAAAAATCGAATTTTGATTAAGCCGATGTTATAGGTATCACAAATACTACAAACTTGAGCAATATCGAAATTGCCAGCAAAAGTTTGAAATTGCATTGCTCATATTTGTTTTGTAAACTAAAAATCTGCTTATATTATTCATTAATTTTTTATATATTATTCATATACTTTAATAAAAACAATACTATTTCACCTTAAAAATGAATTTCATAAGTCAATATTATTTTTTTGAAAATGTATCAATTTTCGATTAAAACAACATGAGAATAAAATTTACGCAAAATTATTTTAAAAAATGGTTTTAAAAATTTACAATTGATTAAGAATAAGATTGGAAGAAGTTTTGACGTTTAATTTTAAGAAAAAAAATTCGGATATTATTCATGGATCTAAGTAATCTGATATTTGAGTATCGGCACTATGCATAAAACATATATTTATAGTTTTGTTGGATTTTTATGATTTTAAATATATTCAAATTTGGCAATCCAATAGATTTTTAAAAAATAGGTAAATAAAAATAGATTACATATGCAGCAGATTTAGAACATGAAACAAATCTTATAGTGACCCAAAAAAAAATTCATGATCCAAAAAAGAAAAAAATTAGCTGAAGGGGAATCAAACCTTGGCATAATGAATCATTATGTCGGATGTTTACACTACACTACACCGGCAGTTCGAAAAATACCCTTGGTGGTTCTATTTAATAGCTACTCCCAACGATAGGCGGTGTCCCCAGCTTTCGAGAGGTGGTAAAAGTAAAGCAAATCTGGGTATAACAATTATTTTTGGTTTTATATTTTTTTGGATCAAATCCATTTTAATAGAATTTATATACTATTCATCTATTAGTAAACACTACCGTATATTATTTTTTCAGCTATCTTATTTTTTTAAGTTTTATTCAAATCTTTGGTCGCAAGAAGAATTGCATGATAAATAAAAACATTTAATCAAAGTCAATTTTATTTTTCATATTCAAATGGACTGAGTGTTAACATTTAACATTTTTTGCTAATTGTCGTCAAAAATTAGGTGTAAAGCAAAAATTGATATTTCATATGGTTTTATGATAGATAAGCATTATATTCCCACTCATTATATTCGTAAATTTTGATGTTATAGACCGAAAATAGATTTTTTCGGTTTTCTCTTCAAATAATTGAAAGAATGATACTATTATAGGTTTATTATATTATATAGCATATAATCATGCTATAGCCGAAAATTATAAGTTTTGAGAAGATTGAATATAACACAAATAAATTTGAATGTAAGTTAAATTGCTTGTTGTTTTTAATAGCTATTTAATGAGAAATCCAATATTGCAAAATTCAAATTGAATGATTGAAAGAACAGAAAAAGTCATTCTTTTCAATTTCGAATATGTTTCATTGTATTTATAATTATATGGCAAATAAGATATTTAAACTTGATTTTTGAAGGAAAATTCACAAAATTGAATAAATTCGAATAATTTTTATTCAAAAATAAACTAGTTATTTGAGTTTAATACTAATTATCTATTCAAACTACAAAGTTTGTAATTTAAAATATTTTGTGAGATCAGATTGAATTAATTCAAGGTTCTTTTCAATTAATATTAATAACCATATTACGCATTTTCGAACATTCTAAACCAAATATATAAAAATGGGAGACGAATGTTAAATTTGCTAGACATGGGGGAGTTGTCTGCAAAGTTTTAGCTCTTATCTCTAACAAAAAATTAATTTTTAAAAAAATGACCGAATACGTTTCACAGCGAGAAAAAAATAAAAGGCAAGATAGAATTTTCTAGACATAAAGAAGTTGTTTACCGAGTTTTAGCTCTTATCTCTAACAAAAAATTAATTTTTAAAAAATGACCGAATACGTTTCACAGCGAGAAAAAAATAAAAGGCAAGATAGAATTTTATAGACATAAAGAAGTTGTTTACCGAGTTTTAGCTCTTATCTCTAACAAAAAATTAATTTTTAAAAAAATGACCGAATACGTTTCACAGCGAGAAAAAAATAAAAGGCAAGATAGAATTTTCTAGACATAAAGAAGTTGTCTACCAAGTGTCAGCTGTTACTTCTTCTCAATACTGATATAAAATAAAAATCTTTATTATTTATTTAACCTTTATTGTTTCATTAAACTTCATTTATTTTATATTATAGTTTTATTCTTTTAGCTACTTGTAAAATAATCTAATTTTATAGTAGTATATGATGTGGGTTGTGTGACTTTTTTTGTAATCGTAAGAATTCTCACATAATTGAATGATTTTTGAACATACTTCCGAATAGCAGATTTTAAAAATTTATGAATAATTTATAAAAAGTTTTTATTCCTACAATTCCTATATTACCATTAATAAAAAGAATATATTTTTGACGAAGTGAAGATTCGCACTTCGTCACAAAACTCCGAAAAAATAAAGTTAGATTTTTTTATTTAATATAAAATGTATGGAAAAAGAATAATATCTGATTTTGAACATTATTTGATTGATTTACTAATTGATCACAAAGCTGTTGTAAAATTAATTTTGAATTTAAAATTAAAGGAACCGTAAATTTTGTATTTATTTATCACTTAAAAGAATATGACCGATATCATAATTTGATATATGAAACTAATATAATATTTGAAGATAACAAACTTACAAGCTTCGAACATGAAAATGATATAATATTCGAAGATGAAAAAAAGAAAGAGATTGAAAAGCAATTCAATGAATGCCTTTTAAATACATATGCGCACATTATAAGACATAAAATGAAATTAATTCCTTATTAATCAAAATATTTTTTATCTTTATATAAAGATGACAAATAGAAAATAATTTTTATCTGATAGAAATAATACCTACAAATGACGGTATATAAAAATTGACTTCTTACGTAAAATTAAAACTAAGTTAAATTTATTTTTTTTATTTTTTATTTTATAATAAATGAGTATAACAACTAATTCATTGAAATCTTTAAAGTTCACTAATTCAGAATTAGAAAAATATTTTAGAAAAAATTTTGGAGACGGTTCTTATCCAACATATATGCAGAATGTGAAAGAGTTTTCCAGATTGTTGAATGAATTTAAATATAACGGACCAATTACTAAAAAGGCTATAATGAGATATTTATATCCCAAAAAGTTGAAAAACAGGAGAATATTCCTCTTTATGGTCCAGAGGACCTGGGCTCAGAGAGCCTTGAAACACCTCCTGAATATTTTGAAGAAAAAATTAAACAAGATGAATATTATAACGATGAGATTGAGAAATTGGAACAATTAAGAAATGAAATAGATGAAAGAATTAGTGAATTGAGAAATGCTGAGAATGAAGTAGAGGGTTTAATGAATATCCCAGCTTCAGAATCAGAAGTTCAAAAATCACATGAGGAAAGATATAAAAATTACTTTTTGGAATCTACTAAAAATTTATTAGATGGTGATATTGACGAAACACTTTCAGAAGAAGGCACAAAATTTATTCATAAACATAAGCTTCAGTTTATTGACGATGGAGATTATCCATGTATATTACTTTCACCTCCTCTTGATTCTGAAAAATTCAAAAAAGCACTGAAAAATGTAACATATGCAACAAATACGATTAAGAAAGAAGACCATGATATTTACACAAATTATTATTTAAATAAATGTACAGGTGTTGATAAAGTTTTTGATTTGTTAGATAAAATATCAAAAGAAACAATTGGTACATATAAAATTTTATGCGATTGTGGTTTCATTATTGAAGATACCAATAATGTTTCATATGAAAGAACAGCACCGAAGGAAGACGAAGTTGAAAGGTCTATACCATTCGTTATTAAGAACATAAAAGATATGAAAACTTATAAACATTATATTTATTCATTTATTTCAGAAAAAATGGAAGCAACCCATAAAACATCTTCTCATCATTTTATAGCTATTCATACATTCCTTTTCAAAGTTGTGAAATTAAATAAGACAGGAATTAGATTTAATGTATCAGGGTACGCATTCTTGAGTAAATTAAAATGTATTCGTCACGTCGCAGATGATAAAAATTTATGTGTTCTTAATTCATTTTATGGGCTTTAAAAAATAAACTTTATTTTTATTTATTTTTTAATTTTTTATTCTTACATAAATGAACAAAAAGGAACAGCTAAAATGAATGATAATCAAATAAGAGCCGAAGGTAGAAGGTTATTTAAACGCTTCTATAACATTCCTGATGGTGTTAATCCTAAAACTCGTAGAAGTTATTTAAATGAAGCCATAGATGCATATGAAGGATTTGACATTTCATCAGAAAGTGAGAGGTTAGCAAGAATGTTAAACGTTAATATTGATTTTTATTATTGTGACCCTCAACCAGAAGACGTAGACATTAACAAGGTAGACTTTCCATTAGTGGAATCAATAATGATAGATCCAGAATTTGAAACAGTAAATATTTTATTAACACAGAGTCCATGTGGAAAACTTCACGCTGACAGAATTACAGACGTTGAAGCACTCACAGGATATAAAGTTTGCCCCTTTTGCAAAGAAGAAGTATATTCTATCCGTGATGATCCAGAAAGGAAAAACCAAAGAAGATTTTTAAAACATTGTGAGAAATGTAAAGAAAATAATGGAAGATTAATTCAAGACGTTCAATTGCAAAACACACAACAACCATATGCACCACATATCACGAAACAGAAGATATATCAATGGCTATTAGCACATAATTTGCAGGAATATTATAAACCAACAAGATATTATATTACTTTTGACTTCGAAACATTAGAGACTAAAGAAGAACTTCAACTTTCTGAATGTGCAACTTTGAACGCTTACTTAAAACCATTTATGGTATCATCAACTGTCAAAATAAAGCCGCAAAGCGGCGAGGTCGTAGACCGTGATAAAACATTTACGAGGAATTTTTGCTTAACATCAAGTGATTCGTTCATCTCTGATTGGATTGAATTTTTATTTTCAACCTGTTCATTAGTTGCTAAATCAAATATTGAACAATATGAAGAATTAATGAATACATTAAATGAGAAACAAAAGGAAGCAATGAAAGAGCTTTTAGATGAAGAATTTAATAAAGTGAATATCATTGGTTTTAATTCGGGAAAGTTTGATTTAAATTTAATTCTTCGTGATTTAAATACTGCAAAATGGAAGATAAAATCAATGCTGGGTTCTTCTTCTCAATTTAAGCAAGTCATAGTAAAGAAAACAAACTGTCCATATGAATTAAGATTTATTGACATCAGAAATTATATAGCGGGTGGAACATTAGACCAATTCACTCAAGATTTCGGAAACAATAAATCACGTGTTAAATCCTTTTTCCCTTATCAATTCATCACATGGGAGAATTACGAAGATGAATTATATAAAAAGGAACCATTCACTCAAGATTCATTTTATTCAGCATTAACACAAGAAACAATATCCGATTCAGATTATCAAATATATCTCAATGATGCTAAAAATTTTGAGAATAGATTAGAATATTTTATTCATTATTGCAATAAAGACGTTGAAATTATGATTGACCCAATTGATAAAATTATCGAAGAAACATTTGTTTATAAAATTGACATGCTTCATAATCTTTCTTTATCATCGAATGCATCAATGATTCGTTACGCGTTAGCATATAAGAACTTCAATCCTAACGAAACATATCCAGAAGAAGAAAATGTGGAATCAAGTTTTGAATTAAAAAAAAGTATTGGAAATATAAAATTGAATCATATAAGAAACAAGATGAAAAGGCGAAAAGAGATACCAAAAATAATGTTTCAATGGATGATTCAATACTATCACGATTTAATCCTTTCATCTAAATGCAAAATGTGTGGTAAAGCGTTTACATATGTAAATAAACCAACATTGGATAGAATCGATAATGAAAAACCACATACCAAAGAAAATTGTCAGTTAATGTGTTGTTATTGCAATGTCGTAAAATCAAATAAAGATGAAGATGTTCAACGTTTAAGAATCAATTTAAGAAATTATGCATTAAAAAATAATTTACCAATGACTTTAGATTCAGTTGAAGCTTATCACATTCTCCGTAATGGAATTACTGGTGGTCTATCAAATGTTCAACATCGTGTTAATCTTAAAGGAATCACGCACATTAATAAACTTTCATATAATCCAGAAACTAAAACTGTATCAAATGAGGACACCACCAACATTATGACTCATTTCGTTGGGTTGACTTTAATTCATTATATCCTTCATCATTTTCATCTAATCCTCATGATTTCATTCAATATACTGACCATAAAATGTATATGCCGGGAAGATTGAATGGTGTTATCATTTGTGATACAGCAACAAAGAAAGCAAAAGCACTGGGAATAATTAAGAAGAAAAATACTTTATTCGTGGCTGAAGTAAAGGGTCACATTGATGAAAAATACATTAATGATTACATAAACTTTTTACCGATAATAAGAAACTTAGATATTATCACAGATGAAAAAACAATTGGCAGTTTTATGTATAATTACATGAAATCAAACAATCTACCAGTTGACCAGAAACAGAGAAAATTAACTCAGTTAGCATCAACACACAACCAATATCAACCATTTTCTTCTTATTATCTTTGGTATCTAATAGACAGATTTCATTTTATCATTGATGACATTCAATCAATTTTAACATTTACGAAAAACACTTGTTTTAATGAATTTGCGAACGAATTTATGAACGAAAGACAAAAGGCTGAATTAGAAGGAAATAAAGGAAAAAGTTTATTTTGCAAGATTTCACTTAATGGATCATATGGTTACGATGCAATGAATACACAAAATTACGCAAAGACTAAAATAATGAATGCACAGAAGGCACGCGTTGCATGTATGTCAAATAAGTTTAAAAACATAAGAGAAATAGGAGAGGATACATATCAAGTGATGCTTAAAGATAGATTTTATAGATGTGATACATGTTTACAAGAGGCATTCTTCACTTTAGATAATGCTAAATACTGGTATTTGGTTTTCATTTATGATTTTATGTATAAATGCATGAATGTTAATCGTTTTCATTTCATTGAAGGTGATACTGATTCATCTTATTGGGCAATCGCTGGCGACCCAAATCTTCCTAACACTCAAGCATTTCAAGCAATTGTTACTGATAAACAATTTTATGATAAAAACATTTTCAAATTCGCACCATTTGATTTCTTCTGTTTTGATGAGAAATTTAAACCTAAATTAAAGAATAAAGCTGAAGAAAAAGCACATGAGAAGAAGTTATTGGGTTTAGCAATTGAGAAACAAGGTGATAACATGGTTGCTTTATGTCCTAAGTGTTATACATCATTCAACGGTTCAATTGATGGAAGTGATTTTAAAAAGATTGCACAAAAAATGAAAGGTGTTAGTTTACGACAAAATAAACAATTAACACCTAAAAATTATTTGGATATAATAAATGATAAAGTGATATTTGATGGTCAGAATATTAATTTACAACTTAAAAATGGTCAATGACTCGCTTAACAATGGTAAGACTGCATTAACAGGAGCACACACTAAGGCTGTATGTTGTGAAAATGGATGTTGTATGCCATTTATTTAATAATTTAAATTTATTTTTAATGAAATGCCACAGAAGAGACAAAAGGAACCGTTAATGATTTTGATACTATGATTCAAAGAGGTGGGCACCCTTAAAACATTATTTTATTTTTATATAAATGGATAACACAGATTTAAAAATTTTAATTGATGATTTAGTACTTAATCAAAATTTTCTTAATTATTATGAATTAAAATCATATCTCCAAAAAATAATAATATATAACGGGTGATGATATGGAATATTATTATCCATATTATAAAAATGAAATTTTGAAATATCATAATAAAATAATTTCTGAAATTAAAGACAAAATTAAAAATAATGAATATTCAAAGGGAAAAACTAAATCACAACTTAAACAGTTGAAAGATTTCAAAAATAAAGTATTAACAGAAGAAGATATTGATGAATTATATAAATTATATAATCCTGAGCCGCAAAAGCCAAAGGAACAAAAACAAAAGGTGCAAAACACCCAGGTCCTTCAGACCATAAATGATGCACAAGCTTTAATTTATGATTCATTAGTTAAACCATATTCAGCCCGACTTTTAAATGAAGATCAACTTTTGGAATTCATCCTTCAACATAAACTCGAAGCGGGAAAGTATATCAAACCTTTATATACAGCATATTTAAAACAAATGAATAGAATACATCCAGAATTAATGAAGGGGAATGAAATCCAAAATCAAAGCAGATAAAATTAAACCACTTGCAACACCAAAACCTCCAACGACAGTACCTCCTCCTCCTTCAGTTAATCCTTCATCATTCACTTTATTATATCCATTTCAAACATTAAAGAAGCAAAAAGATTTTAAAAAGGATTTCAAGATATTAAATAAACCAATTGACCCAAAAATTCAACCGTTAAAGGAAAAATTTAGTCGCCCTTCATTTGCACCATATCCATATTCATACGAAATCGATCATCTGGAATATTCAAAAGGAAACGTTACTTATTTATTTGCCATTAACATTAACACTAGATATTTATATTGCATTCCAGTGAAAGGGAAAACAGAACAGGAAACAAGAAGAGCTATTCAATACTTACTAGATCATGAAAGAGTAGATAATATCAGGGGTGATGGTGATAAAGGATTTCAGGCAGCTATGACTCATTATTTCCCACAAATTAATTTTTTCTTTTCATCCTCTCCATATACGTTTCATAATAAAATAGTTGATGCGGTAATGAGAACTCTTAGAGATGCGTTAGGGGTTAACGGTCAGATATACTGGGATGGAAATCATGACTCCATCATACAACAGTTAGTATATTATTACAATAATACATGGCATAGAACAATAAACATGAAACCAGTGGAAATGAAAAATGATATTTCAAAAGAATGGGAATATATTAGAAAGCAAATGGAAAGGTTGAATGATGTTAAATAGAGATGTGAAAACTTAAATTTTATAATCCCTGGATGCACTTTCTTCGATTTTTTTTAAATTTTTGGGATAAATTTTGACATCTTTTTTTTTGCTGGCGACCCCCCCCGTTTAGGGCATCAAAAAAACATGTTGTTTCGTTTCAAGATCGGGATATGTTGTGAACCCGACTTCTTTCATTAATGAAGTGATTTCTTAAGTTGAATAAAAACAAATTTGATTGAAATTCATACAAAATTTCTTTTTATCATTATTTAAGATGCTTTTTTATGTTGAATTGTTAATTTTTTTATTTCCACCTGGGATATTTTGAATTGGGCTAGCCCAATCCCACCTCTCAATTTTCTCTCAATTGGGCAATGGGGATCCATATAAAATGTATTGTAACAAAATTTTACATGCATAATAAAGTACAATTAAACAACATTCTAAAAATATTAAATTCACATCATTTACTTGAAGATTTTATTTTCAACAAAATTAATACAATAATTACATTAAATTGAGGAGATTTATAATATTTATTATAAATTAAAATATTATTACTCATTAATTTGTTGAAATATTGCATTTTAGTGGTAAAAATTAAAATTTAAGTTTACATGGAGAAAAAAATTTTTAAATTCCAAAAAAAAAATCAATTGGGATAACGATAGGGACAAAAATTTAGAATCCCCATATGCTTGGGATAAAATCACATGACTAATGTTAAACGTGAACAAATTAATTCGGGGCTCATGAATTTTAAACAAGGAAATAAAGTTTTAATTCATCTCGATTATGGAAAACTGATAAATCAATGACAAAAAGAAGACGAAGATTTGACACAATAGCTGAATTTGTTAGATATATTAACGGTAATGTATTAGTTGAAGTTGACAATAAATTAATAGAAATTCCGATTTATTTTATTACTCCATTATATTTAAATAATATTTAATTTTTTTTATTTCGTAAGAAATGAGTGACAACAAAGCAGTCAAGAGTCCAGACGATGAATATAAAAAGAAACTAAACAGAATTAAATCAAAAATATGCTATTACAAAAGAAGCCGCAATGCGGTGGGGTTTGAAAACGATAAAGAGAGGAAAGAAATAATCGAAAAATTAGAAACTTACCGTTCAATCCTTAAACTGAGTGAAGCAAAAATAAAAGAATTTAATAGAATAAATAAATTGATTGGAAGAGATGAATTTAATAAAGATGAATTTTTAAACTCAATCCAAATTTAATTTTTATTCCTCTTCGACAACGTCTCTCTTTCCATCATTACTGCAAAACCACATTTTCTCAGTTTTATGCGTTTTGTTTATTTTTA